ATTTTCTACATCATGAGAAATTCTATCAACACTACTAGACAAATCATCAATCTTATTCAACTTTTCTTCCATTGTAGCATTGAAAACTTTTTGAGTTTTGATAAATTATTTAATATTATTCTCAAGATCAGAGGTGTTCCTATTATTATTGTAAGAATGATTACCATAGGAATTACCATAATTATTAGAGGAATTACTAGGAAAAAGCCTAGGATTAAAATTACCTCTATAAGCATTGTTATTGAAATTGTTTCGCGAGATAAAATTCACATCTACGACATCACTATTTTGCTCAATTAAAGTAGACAAAGGCACATCATTAAAATCAATAGGAGCACTTTTACTAGCAACCAATTTCATAAGAGCATCAACTTTTTCACTCAAAGAAGAGATTTCTTCAACTGAATTAACTTTTTTACTAGTGGGAGCTCTTTCAATATGCCATTATGAATAATTTGCCATAATATTATCAAGCAATTTGGTGGCTACACCCAAAGTAATTTCCATAAAAGTACCACCCGCGGTGGAATCTAAAAGATTACGAGAAACAAAATTCAACCCCGCATAAATTTTTTGTATGATCATCCAAAGATTTAACCCATGAGTTAGACAATTCCTTAGCATCATTTTCATCCTTTCCCCAGATTGTGAAACATGCTCATGCTCAAGTTGCTTGAAATTCATGATCTATGTTCTAAGGGAAATAATTTTTGCGGGCGGAAAATACTTAGTAATGAAAGCATCTTTGCACTTATTCCAAGAATCGAAACTATGGCGAGGCAACAAAGAAAGCCAAATTTTTGCATGATCTCACAAAGAAAATGGAAATAATTTCAACTTCACAACATCATTGTCCACATCTTCTTTCTTTTACATATAGCATAATTCCACGAATGTGTTAAGATGGGACGCGGCATCCTCATTAGGAGTACTGAAAATTGATCTTTCATAACAAGATTCAGCAAAGCGGTATTAAAATCACAATACTCCGCACTAGTGGCGGGAGGAGCAATCGAAGTGCCAATAAAATCATTGTTGTTGGTATTGGAGAAATCACACAACTTGGTGTTCTCCTGAGTCATTGTGACTACGCAACAAGATTGCACTCAAAAGCAGATCCGGCAAGAAAACGGCGAACGAAAAAGAGGGTGAATAAAACATCAACTTTTGTGAAGTGGGGGAGAGGAAAACGAGAGGCAAATGGCAGATAATGTAAATTTCAAGGAGATGAGATTTGTGATTAGGAACCTGGAAGATGTTGATGATGTCTTCCCGACAATGGCGCCAGAAATTCCTTTTGATGTCAACTAGAACTACGTCGGTATTTCCCCAAAGAGAAAGGGATGATGCAACACAGCGACGGTAGGTATTTTCCTCAGTGATGAGACTAAGGTTATCGAACCAGTAGGAGAACCAAGAAACACTACGTAAACAAAACCTGCACACAAATAACAAATACTCGCAACCTGGCGTGTTAAAGGGGTTGTCAATCCCTTTCGGGTAACGGCGCCAGAAATTGGCAAACGGACGTGAGAAAGTTGTAATAATTTGATAGATAGATCGCTGGGGAACGCAAGATAAAAATAAATAAGAATAAATTGCAGCAAAATATTTTTGTATTTTTGGTTTAATAGAAAATAAAAGCAAATAAAAATATATCGCAAAGGCAAATATAATAAAGAAGAGACCCAGGGCCATAGGTTTCGCTAGTGGCTTCTCTCGAGAAAAGTAGCAAACGGTGGGTGAACAAATTACTATTGGGCAATTGATAGAACTTCAAATAATCATGACGATATCCAAACAATGATCATTATAGATGCATCGCGTCCAAGATTAGTAGGCCGACTCCTGCCTGCATCTACTACTATTACTCCACACATCGACCGTTATCTAGCATGCATCTAGTGTATTAAGTTCATAGGGAAAGGGAGTAATGCAATAAGAATGATGACATGATGTAGACAAGATCTATTTATGTAGAAATAGACCCCATCTTGTTATCCTTAATGGAAACAATATATACGTGTCGGTTCCCCTTCTGTTATTTGGATCAAGCATCGTAAGATCAAACCCATCACAAAGCACCTTTTCCCATTGCCCTCACCACTTTCCTTTCCCTAGGGCTGGCCGGCCTGGTGGAGGAGCGCACCAGCCCCTTGTGAGCTGGTCTGTGCCTCCCTTCACCCATTAAGCCCATATCTTTGCTGAGGGATTCCGGAACCCCTTCTGGTGACCCTATATGTACCCGATACCCTCCGGAACACTTCCGGTGTCCGAATACCATTGTTCTATATAGCAATCTTTACCTCTCGGCCATTTCGAGACTCCTCGTCATGTCCGTGATCTCATTCGGGACTCCGAACAGCATTCAGTCACCAAATCACATAACTCATATAATACTGTATCGTCATCGAATGTTAAGCGTGCGGACCCTATGGGTTCAGGAACTATGTAGACATGACTGAGACACCTCTCTGGTCAATAACTAGTAGCGGAACCTAGATGCTCATATTGGCTCCTACATATTCTACGAAGATCTTTATCGGTCGAACCGTTATGACAACATACGTTATTCCCTTTGTCCATCGGTATGTTACTTGTCTGAGATTCGATCGTTGGTATCTTCATACCTAGCTCAATATCGTTACCAGCAAGTCTCTTTACTCGTACATCATCCTGTAACTAACTCATTAGTCATTTTGCTTGCAAGGCTTCTTATGATGTGCATTACCGAGAGGGCCCAGAGATACCTCTCCGATACTCGAAGTGGCAAATCCTAATCTCGATCTATGCCAACCCAACAAACACCTTCAGAGATATCTGTAGAGCATCTTTATAATCACCCAGTTACGTTGTGACGTTTGATAGCACACAAGGTATTTCTCCGATATCCGGGAGTTGCGTCATCTCATAGTCGAAGGAATATGTATTTGACATGAAGAAAGCAATAGCAATAAAACTGAATGATCAATATGCTAAGCTAACAGATGGGTCTTGTCCATCACATCATTCTCCTAATGATGTGATCCCATTATCAAATGACAACTCATGTCCATGGTTAGGAAACCTTAACCATCTTTGATCAACGAGCTAGTCAAGTAGAGGCTCACTAGGGATATAGTGTTTGCCTATGTATTCACACATGTATTAAGGTTTCCGAACAATACAATTCTAGCATGAATAATAAACATTTATCATGAATAAGGAGATATAAAATAACAACTTTATTATTGCGTCTAGGGCATATTTCCTTCAAGTGTAGCCCTATTGCGTATGGGTGTAGTTGCCGGACTTGGTGGGATTTGAGTCTCCCACTTGCCCTTCCTCATAGCCACATCCTCCTCTGCCTCTATCGTGGATGATGTCGAACATCTGTCTCCCCCCTGTCATCGTACGCCTTCATCCCCGCTTAAGGCATAGCATCGAACAACGTGCGGTCACCCATCTACTCCCCACCCATGCCTAGCCGAGCAGCGGCGAAGAATACTCCAAGAAGAGCAGCAACACCGCACTTACGTCGATGATGTAAGGCACTTGCCCGGAGGCGGTTGTTGTGGACTACCTACCAAGCTGGTTGGCGGTGTAGAAGTACGGAGCCTTGTAATGCTTTGGCCATGGCGGTGTCTGTATGGTGGGGGCCACCATCGGACCAGCACGACCCAGGCCGCGACCTCCACCGTGTCCGCAACCGGCATGATCACCGCCACATACGCCACCAACATGCCCTCCGCCGGCATTCTGCTTCTTGAGCACTTCCTCCTTTGCGGTCTTCACTTTGATGCGACGTTTTTGCCACGTTGCCGAGTTGATCTTTCGGGCAAGCGTGATGGTCGGATCCTCCAATGCAACCACCTTTCCGGCAGATTCCCTTCGGTTTCATGGGTCGACGGTGGTTTGGAAGATGAGAGTGGGATAAAAAGGCGGGAATTGGATGGAGAGCAGCGGGATGAAAGAAGAGAGGGAGGCTTTTGGCACAAAAATAATGCGCGCAGCTACAAAGGCGTGGGGCTCCGCTTCTTGGGGTGGGCCAATCGTCTGACGTGTCTCGTCTTCCGACTACTGCAAAGTCCCACGTTTAGTTTTGATTCACGGGAATATCATGGCCCGGACTGCTATGCGGACGGATGAAAGTCAGTGTTGGATGTCTTCCCGAGTTCAGATAGCTACATCCGGACGGATACTATCGATTTGAGGGTCGGCGGTCGAGGTGCGTTTCCGCATGCCAACGAAAACCACGCGCGTCACCCACACGATACCTCACGGCCACGCAACGCGACGGAAGCAAAGGAGGCACCCCCATCGCCCGTCGCCATCCACCCGCGCACGGCTTCATCCGTCACCCCCTCGGCCCCTCCTCACCCGCACCGCACACGCTGGCACACGCCTCCGGGTTTTGGCCGAACCCGCAGATAATGCTCGCCAGGACGAGGTCCCTCCCGTCCGTTTCTTCTCCTCGATGCGGGCTGCCCCGGGGTTGTCCACACGAGAGCGCACCTTTGCTGCAGAAAAAATGATATAAACTTGCAGCCCATCGTTTCTATATTCCCCACGGCAGCACCAAAGTTCCAACTTTGCTTCAGGAAAATCTGCCTTCGTGTCCAATATGTGCACTCTCGTACGCGAACTCGTGCGGGTTAGACGGTAAGACACGATTAGTAGAGCAGTACGTGCCGGCAGAAAGAGGGCGTCGACGCATGACACCTCCATGTGCACGAGATGCGTCCGCAGTAAGCTTAACCAAAAGGAAGTCCGGCCACGGTTTACCGTAAAATTAAATTAAGCACACAAGGAAAGATACGTACGCTGTGTGGGCCCCAGGTGGTTAAGCAAACCAGGGGCCCTGCGCCTGGGTTCTGCCACTCTCCCGGGCCTATATAACCAGCGCCTCCCCCTCCTCCCTTTCACCCGTCCAACTATCCAAGGACTGAGGAAGGCCACAATCAGCAACTGACCCTGTAATACCTTACCTAGCTAGCTAGGTGTAGTTTGCTTGAGCCAAGATGTTGGGGGTGTTCAGCGGCGAGGTGGTGGAGGTGCCGGCGGAGCTGGTGGCGGCCGGGAGCCGGACGCCGTCGCCCAAGACGCGGGCGTCGGAGCTGGTGAAGCGCTTCCTCGCCGGCGCCGAGCCCGCCGTGTCCGTGGAGCTGGGATCGCTGGGCAACCTCGCCTACTCCCACGCCAACCAGTCCCTCCTCCTCCCAAGGTAATAACAATACACCGTCTTTGCGGCTTAATCTACTCGGAGAGAGCAAGCTTCTCTTCCTTGAATACTCGCAGGATCCATGGATTCGAGATCGATTGATCTCTGTGCATGCATATAGATCTTTTATCGAGCGAAACGGACGGTTGATTGATCGTATAGATCGTTTGTTCCACTTTTCCTTAGAAACAGAGCCACTTGCTCTGCTTTTGTTCTGTAGTTAGTGATGAAGCTTCGTGATGGTGAGGTTAGCAGGTAGCCACGGTCCAGGTGCTACGGTACAGTGTCAAAAACGTTACCGCCACATACACCTGCCATGTCTCTCGCATGCTGCGGATGACTTTTAGCGCCCGCCTAGATGATAAGGTGGGCTCTACTAGTCACAATCATATCACACCACCTCACACGGCAGTATGTATTGGTTGTAACAGAGGGAGTAGCTAATAAGCACCGTGGTTTCCGATAATAATTTCCATATGGGACGCGTCTCGTTGTGATATCAATAATCCGACAATTTCCTGTCCTTATTAGAAGGGCGGTGTTGCTTTCCGAAGACTAAAGCAAGCAATAATGCAACCTTCGCAGTCCATTCCATTAGGTGATGGTCCTAGCCGCCAACCTAGTTTCCTAGTTTCCCCTCAAAAAAAACTTAGTTTCCTAGTTTATCGCTTGTAGTGGTATCTCACTGGCCTAGTTCGCGCCTCGTGATCGCGACAGAGAGTTATACGTTGATGAATATTGCTCGCCACAAAAAAATTACTCCCTCCGTCCCATATAAGTGCATTTTTTGACACTATGCTTTTTATATTATGGGATGGAGGGAGTAGTTTCTGGCCGCGTTTGGAATACACAATTTCTTTTTACTCGGATATCACGGATCTTGGGGCAATTGACCCTTTTCTCAACATGAAATTCCTGCCTCCCAGTTGGGGCCCGGGATATTTTTCAGTTTTGTTCATCTACCCTACGTGTAATGGTAGGTGGCAGTGTAAAGAAAAAATCAATCAAAAACAAAAAGACGTCGATTGCTATGTTGGCATAGAAACTGTCACGTATGCAGACGAAAAAACGCCACCACATCTTTGGCAACTTGCAGGTCAACATCGTGCCACCTTCCAAAGGCGTGGTGTCCATTAATTTGACTTGACAACAAACGGGCCTAGTATTCTTCGTTAGGCGGCGAACAAAGGTTCGGCAGGATAGTAATTATCGTTTAATAAGAAAAAAAAGGGCACAAGCCAGTGATCTACTATTGGTAATACTATCGTTGTTGTTGACGTGACGAGCTTATGGATGAATAAACCATCAGACTGTGACAGTGACAACATTTGAGCAAACTTGAATTTAAACGGGTGCTACTAGAGCAAAGATCCTTGTGGTTGTGTTATGCTAGTTAGTAGAGTATTTGTTTTGGTTATTGGTTGAGCCGTTGAGGGAGCAGTAGTGTTTTTGGCAGTCAGTTGCTATTACTAGGAAAATTTCCACAGAAAAAGGAAATTTTCCACCCGGTTTAGATTCCCACAGAGAGCAGAAGAAACAAAGGGAAGCTGGACCCTGTGGCCCATACGGCGGTCTCTTTCGTCTACTCGCTGCTATCATTTGTAGGGCCTGGCTGTCCTTTGATCTTATCTTATCCTGTACTAGGCAGATGCACTAAAGGAGTAGCATCCAAGGAATTTCTACACCTTTCTGAAACACGTTTTGGGTGTTCTTTGTGTTCTTTGTACTAAGTCGTTGATGCTTTACCTAATTTTGCATTCTCAACGGACATGTGCTTGTGATGAGTTAGACCATCTATTATTAGGAGTATTTTTTGTTTGCAAGAAGAGTTAGACCATCTGCTCCCTGCAAAAATAATTAAATTCAGGATGCTTTTACTCACTGAGAATGGAGCATGTATAGTAGTACTAAAAATTAACAAGCATTTTGTTTGTGGATCCAGGTCTTTCGCTGCAAAGGATGAGATCTTCTGCCTGTTCGAGGGAGTCCTGGACAACTTGGGGCGGCTGAGCCAGCAGTACGGCCTCTCCAAGGGCGGCAACGAGGTGCTCCTCGTGATCGAGGCCTACAAGACGCTGAGGGACAGGGCCCCCTACCCCGCCAGCTTCATGCTCTCCCAGCTCACCGGCAGCTACGCCTTCGTGCTCTTCGACAAGTCCACCTCCTCCCTCCTCGTCGCATCCGTAAGCTCGATCAAGTCTAAATTTCCAGCGGGGAGGTTTATAGTCACCGTGCTTTCTTGCTAATTTTGTTGGTGTTGATCGATCAGGACCCGGAGGGCAAGGTGCCGCTCTTCTGGGGAATCACGGCCGACGGCTGCGTCGCCTTCTCCGACGACATCGACCTGCTGAAAGGATCTTGCGGCAAGTCACTGGCGCCTTTCCCGCAAGGTTGCTTCTACTGGAACGCTCTTGGAGGCCTCAAGTCGTACGAGAATCCCAAGAACAAGGTCACCGCTGTGCCTGCAGATGAGGAGGAAATATGTGGTGCAACCTTCATGGTAAGATGTGGCACTTTGATGATTCTTATTAATGTAGCTTGGAAGGAATAATAGTCACGAGGAAAAGAAGACTTGGGCTAAATTAACCTATCTGAACTTATTCGTTGTGCAGGTGGAAGGATCTACCGTTGTCGCGGCACTTCAGTAGGAGATTCTCCCGTCTCCGTCGCTGGGCAAAGCAGGCAACGCCGTTCGTGTGTAGATGGTGGTGGTGTAATATAATGCAACAAGGCGCGTGTGCTACTCTCTTGTGATCTTATGTGAACTGTTCGGTTGTGTATCTGATCATCTGTATCTCTAGCTGTTCAAATTCTCGCAGTGGATTCAAGACCGGCCGTCTTCAGTTGGATGTAACAATTAATGCAGTAGCAAATAAGCTTTCTTCCTTTCCATCTAAAAAAAGGCTTTCTCGATCTCTGTTGTTATGCCTGTACCATGGGGCTAAGTAAATGTAGGTGCACCTATGGCATCTCTAGTCATCCCTCAAAGCCGGTTAAATGATTAAAAGTTTAACTTTCAGGAGTTAAACCGGACCTAGTCGAACCTTTATCCGGGTTGACCCCTAAAAAATTATACTCATCGCATCAGCCGCTGCTTATTTTGCTCAGCTGCGGCTCATTATCAAAGATGAATCTCCACCTCCCCCGGCATCACATCTCTTCCTAAGTCACATTGCATCGATGTGGGTGCCACCCAAATCAAGCCGGCACCACAACCACCTCGCACCTCCCGTCGCGGCGTCGTCCCCAAAATAGAAATATCGAGTAGATCGAGTAGTCAAAGGTCGCTACGGCGTGCAGCCGACCCGAGGAACCTACCACCGAGGAAGAAGAAGAAGTACCACGGAGTGTGGCAGCAGACATGGGGTACGTATCGGAAATCAAGGACCGAGACACCGGCCAATACTAGATTAGTGATGTAGGGTGGAACTCTAAGTTTATGATCTTTTCACACTCGGAGGAGAAAAAGAAAGCAAACCAAAGATAAACACTCAAATAGACAAGATCCAATCACACATATGCTAAATCCACATACACATAGAGGGATACAAAGGTCCAAATCCAATACAAGAAGGTAAGAGAGACACTAGTTCGTCTCAATCCTTGAAGGAGAGAGGTCTTAATATTCTTGGAGGAAGAAGATCTTCCTTAGATGGGGTCTTGAATCCACTATGGAATCGTCTCACATGGAGGCTGACATGTCTATTTCGCATCATGTTTTTATGTTGATATTTATTGTATTATGGGATGCTATTACACATTATGGAACGATACTTATGCATTTATTCTCTTATTTTACAAGATTTATATGAAGAGGGAGAATGCTAGCAGCTGAAATTTTGAAACGGAAAGGAGTAAATCTAAGAGACCTATTCTACACAACTCCAAAAGTTCTGAAAATTTACGGAGGATTATTTTAAAATATATAAAAATTATTGAGCGAATAAAATACCAGAGGAGACCCACCAGGTGGCCAGAAGCCTGGGGGGCGCGCCCTACCCCCAGGGCACGCCCCTACGGCTTGTGGGCCCCCTGACAGGTCTCCCGTGTCCATCTTCTGCTATATGGAGGCTTTTGACCTGAAAAAAATCATAAGAAAGCTTTCAGGACGAATTCACTACTGGAATCAACAGATTTGTCGTCTGCCCACTCTTTGTCGTCCGCTAGCGGACGACAAAGATAGGCTTTGCCATCAGCCACCAGAAAGCAGACGCAAAGAGGCAGCGGACGGCAAAGCTAGGCTTTGCCATCAGCCAACTCTTTGCCGTCCGCTAGCAGACGATAAAGAAGCTTTGTCGTCTGCTAGCAGACGGCAAAGAGGGGGCACCAGCTTCAAAATTGACTTAACGGGGCCGCGCCCCCGCCATCGCCCCCTCTCTCTCTGTCTCCTCTCCTCTTTCCTCCCTCTGCCACCCCGCGCCGTCGCCACCGCACCCTCCCCGCCCCGTCGCCGCACCTCCCTGCCTTCCTACCCCCCCCCTCTCGAGCCTCCCCGTCGTCACCTCTCCGCCTCAGC